TTACTGATTGGGAGAGTGAGGGGATAGGGAAGAACACAGGGCGCACTTTCGCTGGATAACAGGCTATGGATTCAAGCCCAGGAGTGCACCCGCCTTTTGTCCTCTGTGATGGTCCCTGACTGTCTCACTGATGCCACATAGCCTGCTGGGGATGGCTTTCCACCAACACCAACCCAGCTGTTCTGGCAAGGTCAGCCCAGGTCAGACAGGGCAGATGGTGAGAGGGCTGGAGACCCAGGCACTCAGGACTGGGTGAACACAGGGTGTCAATGTTTGGCACTAATATGATTCCCTGGTGGGTGACTTGTGTTTGACAGATAGGTTTTAGTGGAGGGAGGAAAAACTACTAAGAGGCCAGGATCAAGGTTGAGCCATGGTGGGCACTCCAGAGGCAGAGAGGAGGGCACTTCAATGGAGAAAATTCAGCAAATGACCATTGAGCACCCACAGGTGCACCAGGCTCCATGGCAGGTACCGGAGAATACGGTATGACAGAATCTCTCCCTGTCTTCTTGGAGGTGACACCCTGCAAGATGGTGGCCCTGTCTCCACTATCCAAAACATCCACCAAAGACCCAGCAGAACCAGCTGGAACTTAGCAGTGGGACCCTGGAGACATAGCCAAGGGACTTTGCAGGGAGGAGAGTTTTCCCCAGGGCCAGCAGGGCACCAACACAGTGGCAGAGCAAGAAGTTTGTGCAGTGTCCTGGGGTGTTCAGTGGGGTGCTAAGGTGGCAATGGAGGTGACCTGGATGAGCTCAGAGGCCATTCTCAAAGACTAGGGGTCCGACTCACATTTGATAGGAAAAAAGAGTAACTGCCATTTCTCAAGGAGCAAGCACCTCCGCCGCGATTCAGAAGGAAAATCAGGAACTTCCAGAGGCCAGGAGCTGCCTCTTGCTTGTAGGCTGACTTTAGTTTCCTGTGCAGCAGGTCTGGTCTGTGCTGGAGATCTGCATTGCTCGGTAGTGTCGGGGTCTCGAACACGGCCGCTGCAGGCGCTGGGTTCGGTTTCATTTCTCAGTCCTGCACAGCTCTCCAGAGTCCCTGCTAGGGCCCCAGGGAATTTAGGTTTCTGAGACTTTCGTTTCTGCAGGATTTCGGTGTGGCGGGGGAGGAGGGCGTGGCGGGGCGTGGGGGAGGAGCGTGGCGGGGGCGTGGCCGCCCGCGCAGGGTTCTCTATTTAAGGAAGAGCAGCCTGGCAGCCGCTCAGTGCATCCTGGTGGGGAACTGGTGAGTGTTGCGCCCCGGGACTCCGCGCATCTTAGCTGCTGAGCGAGGGATTTCATCGCTGGACGATCGCCTCGCGGGGCCTTTTTCCGAGCTGGCAATACTAGTAATTACGCTAATGCAGACGGGGCTGGGTGGCTGAGACCCCCTCAGAAACAGCCCCCTCACCGCGCTTCTCTGCTGCTGGTGGCGGGGATGGGGGTCCCAAGTGGCTCTCCGAGGGACTCTGGTTAAGAAGCGGGGCGGGGGATGCTGAGAAGTTTCAGATCGACTGCTCCGTGGGCTTTGAGCCCACCGAGACTCAGACCATCATTCACTGGGGTCCTTTTCCCTAAGTGCTGGGAGCTGGCAAGGCAAGGTCTAGGGGGATTCTTTAAAGTGAAGATGGTGGGGGCGTCAGGGACCCGGCATGAGGGAGCCAGGGAGTGGGGGGGCAGCACGGATGCGCATGCTCAGAAATGCCCTGTCCCCCAGCACAGGGAGAAGGAGATGCCCTGGACTCCAGTGGGGCGTGGCGGGTGGACATGGTGGGGCTGATTCAGCCTCTAGAACCTTCCAGTTTGTGGAGATGATTTGCATCTGTGCGGGCGTTGGAGGGACGCCAGCAGTCCAGGGGGATGACAGAGATGTCCAGACACTAATGAGACCCAATCGCACCCCACCTCACAGGTGACCACTAATTAGCCACTCGTAAAGGATTTTTGAAGGTGTTTACTCAAATTGTCAGTCAAGTTTTTTTGTGGGTGCAAGAGCAAGTGATGCTATCCCCACCCCCCACTGTCAGTCTCCCGAAGTCCTAAATGTCTGAGGAAGGAGCCACTTCTCTGCTTTGCAATGCAGCTGCTGGTCAGGAATTCCTGGGACAGGATCCCCCCACCCTTGCTCCCTGCTTTTCTGCCCTTTGGACGCTCAGCCAGCCTGGGTGGTAGGCAGCCATGTTTGCTCTGACCTGCAGGATGCTCTCCCTTCCATTCATAAACACTGACATGCCAGTGGCTTTTGAGGGAAATCCTTGCAGGAGAAAAAGTTCTAAGTTCTAAGTTCTGCGAGGGTTAATTTTTTAAACCTATGAACCACCCTGGGAAGGTCTCAGGTTCTCAACATCTTGGGTTTTTCTAGTGCTGCTTGCTAGGTGGCCCTTGTTGGAGTAGGAGTAGTGAGGACGGAGGGGCTGCCTTACTACCTCCCACCTGGCTTCTGTTCTGGTCTGAGCTGAGGAGGCTTGCTCACAAGGACAGAACCACAGGGGCCCCTTGAGTCTGGCCCCACCCCCTGCCTCAGGGATCACTGTCCAGTGCTGCTGTAGGTGGCAGCTGGAGGCCTCAGGCAAACTCTCACTGCCTGACTGGAGTGGAGGGACAGGGTCCTCAACCCAGCTCAGGGACAGCGGGAGCCTGTGTGGGCGCAGACCTGCCCTGGGTGGATATGCACAGACCTACACAGGACAAATGGCCCTTCCCTGCCCCTGACCTCGGGATGAGGCAGGAACCTGTAAATGATGCTACCTTGTGCACTATGTGGCTGAGCTGCAGAGTGGGTGCTGTGCAGAGGGGTCTGCTGCAGGGAGGGTAGGGAGGGAGCTGGGCACACACCCACCACCCAGGCTCCTCTGTAAATGCAGGTGCAGGGACATTTTAGGAGCGATCTGGAGCTGAGAGCTAGGGGGCGCCACTGCTTAAGGTGCCAAGATCCATTGATGGCCATGTTGAGGTCAGACCTACAGCAGGACGCTCAGTGCACTGGGAAAGCAGAGCGAGTGGTGACTGAGACAGCCTGCTCCTGAGACCAGTAGTCTCAAAGGTGACCAGAGGGAGAAACCTAGTGTAGTTTGTAGACAGACCCAGGATTTAACTCTTAGGGCCTCTCGTTTCATGAAACGAATAGAGGAAGGGATAGACTCCCCAGTCCTGATTTACCCGACAGAGTTGAAGCCTTGGGCATGGGGCACAAGCCCCCTGATGGTGCTGTAAGGCCAAGCGAGGAAGTCCTGGCCCCCTAGCCAGGTGTCCAGATGGGCAGATAAGGGGGGTTCACTATGCACCCTGGGCCACCTGGGAAATGAGATCTTTCCAAAGGCGGGTGCAGGGGGAATGATTTAGAGAACAAATTTCCAGGTGTTCCTACTCCATAAGTACCTTTTAAAATAGGTCGCCTTTCACAGTCACCTTCCCCTCACCTTACCAAATGAAACACTGATGGAGTGACTCTGCTCTTGAAGCCTCTACACCTGGGGGCAGGTGGAGAAGGAGGTTGTAAATATTCATGACCTGAGTGTGTCCTTTCGCAGGAGCCCATCAGCCAGCATCCAAGCTTTCACACTCTCGCATCACAGTGTGCAACTGGGGAAGGAGGAAGAAGATGGGTCCTACTCCACAGAAAGCCAGAAATTGTGATTCAGCTTCGGTATCAAACCATCTATTAGTGAATGGAGATGCTAATGTGACAAAGGAAACTCAGGACATGGTAAGTTGCTGTGTCAAAGTCACTGCTCACAGGGACAGTGTCCATCTGCGAGGTGGGGTGGGGTCTGCAGTCGTGAGTGGGCTGGAGTTCTAGAGAGGAAGAGTGCTGCTGTCTGAGATGATGGACTCCTTGTCCTTCCTGGGCCAAAATGTGCATCTGAGTCCTCTGCTCACTCAGCTTGGGTCAAGCAACGGGCAAATGCAGACATTTTCCTGATGTCGAATGTGTCCAAGCTGCTGTCTTGGTTTGGGCATGCAGTGGACACTGATGGTGTCAGGTAGGGACTACAGGGTGCACTGAGCTGCGCCCTGTCTACGCCATAGCTCAGGCTCCAGCTATAGTCCCTGTGATGTCTCACTGTGACATTTCCTTCCTAGAAAAGACACATGGTGTCTGTCTTCCTACAATCGACCCATTTTTTGGTAAAAATCAACCATGGGCTGTAGAGTGATTTGTCTTGCATTTGGTCCCGTCACTGACCTTGTCAGCTCTCTGACCTAGGTTAGTTCGTCTCTGACCTAGGTTGGTTCATCTCCTTAGAAGCCTGGTTTCCATCTGTGAGGTGGGGGTCAACAGCACGGGCCTGTTCAGAGTGACTGCAGCTAACAGTGGGCACTCAGAAAAAGATCAGTATATTGCTGTAGTCTGCTTTAACCCCTGGACGAGCCTGGGGGTTCGCTCAATGGAAATCCACTGGCCTAGCATTTGTGAGACCCCGTTTCCATCCCTAGCACTGCACAGTTAATGAATATGTGAATGAGCCCCGGACCACCATTTTGGATTGTATCCATTTTGAAGCGATGTTCAACTATTTTTCAACCATATGAAGTGTTGAAGGTCATAGACAACTGAAAATAGACCCCTATCTACCACGCTGTACTCCCTGTTTACACTTCTGTGCATCGCCCTCCCATGTCCTCTCCTGTCTGGCTGTAACCCTCACACCCACTGTGTCAGTCACTTTCCATTAGGAACTCCTGAGTTAATCAACTTATAAAGAAGAGAGGATTGTTTCAAACACAGTTGCAGAATTTTCAGTGCATGACCAGTTGGCCCCACTGCTTTGGGCCTGCGGTGCCCCATCATGGTAGGAACTTATGGCACAACAAAGTGGACACCTCATGGAGGGAGGAGAAAGAGAGTCCACTTTGAGGACATTCCCTCCCCGGTGACCAGATGCCTCCCACTAGGCCTCTCCTCTTCAAACCCTACCAAGTCCCAATAGCACCCACCAAGCTGAGGATGAAGTCTTTACCCAGTGGGCCTCTTTGGGGGACATTTCAGATCACATTGTGGCACCCTCTCACTCCCACCTGCTTTGGACGCTGCTGGCCTCTCCCATCCTGTGACAGAGTGCATCTGTCATTCAGCAGCTCTACTTCTAGACAGAGAGAGACCGAGGTTCTGAAAGTAAGGCCTCAAACCAGCAACATGAGCACAGCCTGGAAGGTGTTGGGACTGAGCAACTTTTGTCATCAAAGGCAGGGAGCCTTGTTCCAGACAGTGCAGTGGGTCACACAGATCTCAGAGGCACATCGCAAAGTTGAGTTGATAACTCAAGTTTCAAAACCCAACCTGGCCATGTAGGGATTCACAGCCAAGAGCCAGGTGAAGGACAGGATGGGAGTCCCCAAGAGGGACTTGATTAGGTGGCAAGGGCAGAGGCTTCTTCAGTAAACCCGCTGAGCAGGGGTCTTTGCTAAACTGGGCACAGCAGCAAGGCACACATTAGTGCAGAGAGGCTGAGGAGCCCGCCCACATGTGGTCAGGGTGTCCTGGCCAGTGTGTGCCCTGCTTGGCAGAAAAACACCGTGTCCCCTCGGTCATCACTCGTTGCACTCCATGTTCCATTAGCGGTGCTTCTGACCTTGCCTCCCCTTGCATTGTGTGGCACTGACTAACCACAGCCGCTTGGTTGTCACAGCTCAGGTGACAGGAACATAGAGGCCATGGGTGTGCCTACACCTCCGAGACATCAGGACAGCCCCAAACAGGGAATATCTGGCCCCGTCCTGGAAGCCGGGACTGGTCTCAAAAAGCTCCTGTGTATTATAAAGCACGCTACAATGGGACCACAGAGAGAGAAGTAAAGGCAGACAGGATTTTCCCCGACTTTCTTGCTGGACCCCAGTCAGCGGCCTTTGGGACAATCATGTCCAGCTGACAAGAGTGGGCTGGTGAGCCTGAGCCCTTGCTTTCCTAAGGAACCTGCTGGCATCCCAGGATGGGACGGAAGGAGAGGAGAAGAAGAGGGTCTGCTCTGCTCCTGAAAGTGGACTAGTGCAGCGTCTCTGATTTTGGCTGTTCCTATTTCTCTTTGTTAAAACCAGGACAGTGATGGGTCTAGTGACGATCTGAGAGACCAATGAAACTTTCTTGGACATCTTCTGTGTGATTTATGTTTACTTTCCCCTTCTTAACCTCAGCGTTGTTGAGATGTAACTGACATGCCACAAGTCCCCTAATGTCAAGGCCATAAATGTAATTGGCTTTTCTCCAAGGCTTCATGTAGTTCTTCCAGCTCAGGAGCTTTCTGGAGTGCCCTTTGCCATCTGTGGTGATGCTTCTGTCCAAACCTTCTGCCCATTTTTATACAACCATATTCTTTTTGTTGATATTTGAGGACCTTATATATTTTGGGTACCATTATTACATCAGATGTATGGTTTGCAAATAATTGCCCTGTTTTCACTCATTGAAGATCAGTTGGAGGTGTGACTCAAGTAGTAGAGTGCCTGCCTAGCAAGCCTGAAGCCCTGAGTTCAAACCCAGTACTGCCCTGCCCCCCAAAAAGAAACAAACGCCCTAGTTCATTCTTTGACTATCAGATGCTTTTCATTATCATGAAGTCCAGTTCATCAGTTGGTTTGTTTATGGATTGTGCCTTTGGGGTCATAGCTGAGAAACCCATGCCAAACCCACATTTGAACACTTTCTTCTCTGTTTCCCTCTACAAGTTCCATCATTTTAGAATTCTTACATTTAGGGCTGTGATTGGTTGCATGTGATGTGAAGTAAGATGTTAGTTTTGGAATTTTATTTTTGTACATATAGACATCAAAACTCCTAATGCCACTTAGTGAAAAGCCCATCTTTCCTCCAGGGCACTGCCTTTGACCTTGTCCAAATCCACTAGGAACTGCTCTATTAATGGAATATGTCTTCTGTCCACCTGTCTCCTGCTTAGGCTATAAGCCCCACACTCTTGGGGTGGCTGCTTCAGAACCATCTGGGATTAGGGATGCTCTCCCTCCCACACTGTTCTCATTCAAGGTCACTGTGGCTGGTTCAGTTGTGTCTAAACCATTTCAGTTAAAGTGCCTTGCTCCTGTTTGGTTTGAGAATACCCTGCTGCTGTTTGCTTCTGTATGAAGCATGTGCTCTTCCTTCCCTTTCCCTGCTATCCTAATGCCCATTGGATTAAGCATGTTTGTTATGAGTCTTCTTCTCTCCTCTAGTCACTGATTAACTCTTGGTGTTTGTAACACACGTCTTTCCCTTAGAGTCTACCCCTGTGTGATAGAGGACGACTTCCTGGGTGGCATAAGAGTCTTCCAGGAGAATGCCCATTTCTCTGCTGCAGCCTGCATGCTGTTTGTGTCATGCACCTTTTTTCCGTGCATCAGAAGCACCACCATTCGTCGCTGTTGTTTTCTCTCAGTCCGTTATGTCTTAAGGATATTGAAGCAATAAGAAAGAGCAGTGTTAGCACTTGTGGGGCCGTTTCGTGCAGGTCAGATTTTCATCTCCACAGCCCCCCACCACCTGAGCTCCCACATGTCTGTAGCGAGGTTTGTGGCCATGGCGTTATGTGGTGTCTGGAAGGCTCTGTATTGCCCTCGTGCCTTCCTTTTCCATACTTTGTTTTTAATAATCACATGCATTTCACAAAGCAACGCAGGAAAGGGGTTCAGGTTAGGCAGTGCATTGCCCCGCCTGACTCCCAAGCCAGGAATCACACCTGGCCAAGCGGCTTCAACTCCCCAAGTCCCATTTCCCCATATATAGGAGAGGGGGTAATCGTAATAATTGTAATTACGCCTATCATATCGTGAGGGCAATGTGAGTGAGCCCATGGAAAGGGTGTAGCAGAGTGTGGGCCATTTATGAATGACAGAAACTCTCCTTCTCCTTCTTGTTAACAAATCTTAGAACAAAGGAGACAAAACTCTCCACCTCTCCTCCATGTTGAAAAGACAAAGGCCATGTTTGCTGGCCTGGAGACACACTAGCTCTCAGCCATCCCCAGCTGTCTGCCACACCTCAGGTATTTGTCTCTACTCCTCTGGGGTGGATGCCCTTGCTGGGTGTGGAGTTCTAGCTGGATGGCATTTTTTTCAGTTCTTTGAGAATGTTGTGGAATGGAGATGGAGCTGAGTGGCAGAGCACGTGTGTGCAAGTGCGGGGCCCTGAGTTCAATCCCCAGCACCAACAAGCAACAGTGAATCTGCCCCTCTGTCTCCCACTTGCGGCCAACCTTGTCCTTGTTCCTCTGATCATAGAATGTCATTTGTGGCTACGCTTAATGTCTCTTCTTTATCACTGGGTTTTGAGCAATTTGACTCAAATGTTACTTGATTTAGTTTATTTTATGTAATCTCTGCTTGCAGTTCGTTGACTTTCTAGGACCTTTCATTTTGTAGTTTTCATCAAGATTGAGGTTGTTTGTATTATTTCTTCACTTATTTTTTCAGCCAATCTCTCGCTCCCTTTTGGGGTGCCAATAACTGTATGATATCATTCTTGAGGCTGGCTATCTTTGATGGACCATCACCAGCAGGACATAAAGAATTCCTTCTTGGCTCTGCAGGGTCCTGAGAACAACCTCTGCAGGCAGTACGAGGAGAAGGTGCGTCCTTGCATCGACCTCATCGACTCCCTGAGGGCCCTGGGTGTGGAGAAGGACCTGGCCCTGCCTGCCATTGCTGTCATCGGGGACCAGAGCTCGGGCAAGAGCTCCGTGCTGGAAGCTCTGTCGGGAGTCGCTCTGCCCAGGGGCAGTGGTGAGAGTCTATGTTCTTCTTACAGCTCCTCGCCAGGTCCCTCTGTGACCTTCTTCTGTGCGGGATCCCTGATGTAGAACACGTGTGCCTCCCCATATGCTTAAAGCTCCTCAATGTGACCTCTTACGACCTCCTGCGACTTCACTTATCCCCTTAAGGTCCTGTGTACAAGCACAGTCACACTTGGCCAGGGCTGAGGCATTTGGCCTTGGGGTCACCATTGAGACCATTGCACCATGCAGTCCCACGTTTCTGTGCGGGTTTGTGGAGTCTGCAGTTTGCAGAAGGTCTGGATAAGGGGATTGGGTCCCCAGCCCTCAGCTTCACGTATGAGGGTGTCTGTGTGTCCTGCCCGAGAGGTGCCCTGAGACCTGGGGATCACGCTTGGCCTGCTGCTCAGGATCCTGTTGAAGTTGCACAGCCCGGGACATGAGTGAGGCTGGAGGGAGTGGCCACAACTTAGGTGTTCCGAGAACATGGCACACGCAGGATTTGGAAGCGGTTTATTGGAGGCCGTATTCTAGTGGCCAGAGGTAGTAGTGAGTAACATGTGAATTCGGGGTCCATAGAGGAAGTTTGCATGAGGTTGAGAGGTTTCTGCTGAGTTTGAGCTTGAGCTGATGGTAGGATCTGAGTAGGAAGGCTAACTGGCTGGTGGCTTTCACACACACTGAACAAAAGTCCCCTGGGTGCCTATTACAAATAACTGTCTGATATGAAGCCTCAGAGCATCAGCGGGGATTGCAGAAGGCCCCCACTTCCCAAGCCATTGGTCTGAGTCTTCACGTGGGGTCCCTAAGAGCAGAACACAGTATTGACGCAGGCGTGGTTTCCTAGGCATTGTCACCAGGTGCCCTCTGGTGCTGAAACTGAAGAAGCTGCGGCAGGAGGAGGAGTGGACAGGCAAAGTCATCTACCGGGACATCGAGGAGGAGCTCAGTGATCCTTCCCAGGTCGAAAGAGAAGTCAACAAAGGTGAGAACCAGTGTGTTCCTCATCCCCTGTGTACTCCTGTCCCTGCTCTGTCCTCCTGCACCTAAGTCCCAGGCTCCTTGGCTTCCTCTCCCTTTACGCTCACAAAGACCACCATGCATTGCTTAGCGTGTAAGGAAGTATACGGAGTGATGCGAATTTTTAAATTTACTCTGTCCCTCATTATAAATTTACTCTTCCCTCTTTCAAGGACTTGTCAACTCCCCAGATCCGAAGGGAGTGAAGCTGGGTGGGGTGAGAAACACTTTCCCTTACAGCTTGGTTGCAGGACATCCTCCAAGGGGACCCATGCTCACTGGACCCAACTGGGTCCTGTGTCTTCTCTGCAGAGGGTGTGTGTGCATGCCATGGTCCCAATCTGGCTGGTTGGTGGTGGATCTCAATAAATGAAAAAGCCCAGATCAGTTTGAAAGACGAAAGGGAAGCTAAGTATGTGTGCAGTGAAGGACAGGGTGGCTGACGATGATGGCATTTTGACTTCCCTTGTTTACTCTAGTATTTTCTGCAAATGTCACATGCTTAGGGTCAGTCCTTTGTGAAATATGCTAATGGCCTGCACTGATTCTTGAAGTAGGAAAGGAGGGGCTACAGTTCTATAAGATGGGAACACAAATTAACATTTGTCCACATTCCTACATAAAGTTCAGTAATGTTACCACGTGTTAATTTGGTCTGAGTAGGGATTAGATCGATGAGCTATGGCAGATAACTCAAAAGAACAGTGTATCAGTCAGCTGTGGCTGTGTAACAAACTGGCCTCCACACCTAACGGCCTACATTGTGCATGATCCTATGATCCTGTGGACCCAGTTGCAGGCTTGTTCTCTGGGCTGGCCTGGCTGCATGATGGTCCAGGAAGACCGTGGTCCCATCACAGCCAGGCCTTCTCCACCTGTGGTTGCACATGGGCCAGCAGGCAGGCTGGGTCCAGTCCCTGGTGGCAGCAGGGTCCTGGCAGCATCAGAATTCAAGCCCAGTGAGAAGCCCCTTTCCATCTGTTCTGGTATCACAGTTTCTTATGCCCCATTGGCTAAGAAAGTCACGTGGTCATGTCCAGTCTGGAGACAGGCTGGGTGAGGAAGGAGAAGTGGCAGATGCACGGTAAAGCCGCAGTTATGCAGGAGGAAGGGAATATTGGAAATGGTGCAGCAACCGCAGATGCAGCGGTTAAACTCTGTGGCATTTTCTCTCACGCAAACTTCTGAAGGGCACAGAGCAGAGCTGGGTTGGGGACTCAAGATCAGGAGCCAAGTGACCGTCTCCTTCTCCATTGTGTGTGGCTTCTGTCCCCAGGCCCCTGGTGATTTAGTCAGAAGGGACATATTCTGGCCAGCTGGCGATGGAAAAGGACACACCTCTGCCTGTTGAGCCACCCTCTAGACACTAAATGTGTCATTTTCCTGTGTCATTACCAGGGCTTCATGGCACAACCACAACTCGGGGACATGGTGTTGTGGGAATAATTAGCAACTCTGCCACGGGTGCCACTGTTATTTCCAATCAAGTTCTAGCTCCGAGTCAAACATTCCAAAAAGACGTGCTGCAGAGAAGAGCCAGGTGGTGTTCGCTCACAGTTTGAGGCAATGGTTTCACGTCCTGCGTTATCATTACCGAGGCGGAAGGAGCGGAGTGAAATCCCTTAGCAGAGGACCAATGACCAAGGCTCCTCCTGCCTACAATGAGTCGCTCCCCTTGTAGATGTCCAGCTCAGGGGGAGGCAGTTCACAGTGTTTTTGTTTGTTGTTGTTTTACTCACTGTGATCCACACTGATGGGAGGGGTGCAGTTTCCATCAGGAAGAATGTCTAGGCTCTGCTCAGCTGTGCGAGGTCCAGCCTGGTGTCCCGTGGAGATGGTCTCACCAGGTCTCTCTACAGACCCTTCTGGTCACAGCAAAGGAGGTAGTGAGTTGTCCTCGACGACCTTGAGCCTCAACCTCAGAAAGGTGAATCTGCTTTAAACATGCTGGTAGCATGGACCCTGGAGAACTGTCTAGAAGGTGCTGCCAGACTTCCCAGGAATGAGACGCTCACTCTGACCTCCCTGGATTTCCTGTTCCTCTTCCTCAGCCCAGAATGTCATCGCGGGGGAAGGACTGGGGATCAGTGAAGAGCTCATAAGTCTGGAGATCAGCTCCCCACACGTCCCGGATCTGACTTTGATCGACCTTCCCGGCATCACCAGGGTGGCTGTGGGCAATCAGCCTGCTGACATCGGACGCCAGGTGAGACTCCAGACTCCAGCCTCCATTCTGACCTGGCTTTGGGTGCCGGGGGGCTGTGTTAGAGCAGCGTGTATCCAAGACTCTGACTAAAGAGGGGACTTGTGGAGGTGGGAATGAGATTGGATGGCCTAGAGGTCGCCACCTGTGTCCTCAGTGTTGATGGAGAAAGTGAGGGAAATTGGAGCAGTCTGTAGCCATTTCTTTGGGGGAGAAATGAGAGCTGAAGCGAGTACAAGGTCAAGACCATGTCAAACTCTCCTTCACCCTCTCAGTACTCAGGACCATGTCATGTCATTTGTTTCAGATCAAGCGACTCATTAGGACATACATCCAAAAGCAGGAGACCATCAACTTGGTGGTGGTCCCCAGTAACGTGGACATTGCCACCACAGAGGCGCTGAGCATGGCACAGGAGGTTGACCCAGAAGGAGACAGGACCATAGGTAAGAAGAGTGGGGAGCTCACAGTGGCCTGTGGAGTGCCTGTGGGAACACGTAACCTGAGTCCAGGAGGGCAAGGCTTGTCACACAATGAGTGGAGTAGGGACCACTGAGGTGCAGGTTGGATCCCCACTGGGCAGGAGGAAGTGAGCCACCTTGGAGCCGTGTTGGTCGTGAGTTGCTGCATAACCTTGTCTTCCTGTTAGGAAGGGCACAGGGATTCAGAGGGTTGGGTGAGGGCTGAAGGAAATCCCACCAGTTAAGACTCAGTGGAAGTGGAAACTGTGTGATGTCCTTATGGGATGAGGGATAAACAGAATCTGGTCTCTGCAGATGGGCTTGAGTGAAGAAACCAGGAAGAGCCTAGCATTATCCAAGGGACCGTCCTGTCCCCCGCCTGGATGAAACAACCTTTCTCTGGGTTCTTTGGGGCCCTGTGTGCTCTCCACCAACGATGACAGGGAGCCCTGGGGTTCTGGTGACTGGGTGAGAGCTGTGTTCCCTCTGCCTTGGGATTGTGCTGGTCCCTGATCCAAAGGTTCTTGCCCACAGGTATCTTGACAAAGCCTGATCTGGTGGACAAAGGCACCGAAGATGAGGTTGTTAACGTGGTGAGGAATCTCGTGTACCACCTGAAGAAGGGCTACATGATCGTCAAGTGCCGGGGCCAGCAGGACATCCAGGAGCAGATGAGCCTGACACAGGCCCTACAGAATGAGCGTTCCTTCTTTGAGGACCACCCACATTTCAGGTGCGCTGTGCCCACTGTCCCCAACCAAGGACCACGGTTCCTATGTGTGCCAATTGCTGGTCAAAGCAGACATCAGGGGTGTGTGTATGTGTGTGTGTTAGTGTAAGTGTGTGTGTATGTGTTTGTATCTGGCAATGTCTGTGAACCTTGCTTAGAAGCATAAATGTGGAATTCACAAAGTTTCTCAAAAAAAAAAATCAGTGAAAATAGGATGTGATTTGCTAGAGCAAATTAAATAGTGTGGTACTGGTAGCAGAATATGAAGAAGTAGAACAGAATGGAGAAGCAGCAGAAAACACACAGCCGACCCAGGATCGTGTGTTCATAGATGCCAAAGTGGCATTTGAAGTCAGTGTGCTGAACCAGTTTATCCACGTGGCCTGGGATAATTGTTTAATATCTGGAAAAAGTTATATGGGAATTTTGCCTAACATCCTATGCCATGTAAATATGGACTCCTAGTTACAATTACCATTACTAATGAACAGCTTGGAAGAACGTGGTGTGTGTTGTACAGGAGAACCTGCCATCCTTCATGCCACAGGAGAACTTTGTGTGAAAGGAAAGGCCTAACAAGTGGTAGGATTTAAAATGAACAGGACAGAGTTGGATACATTATCACGTTGACTTCTAAAAGGCGGAGGTGAGGTGTCACTGAAATGACAAGTGTGTCACTCAGGCATGTGCCCACCATGGCTCTCCACAGTAGCACAAGGTAAAACGACATGGTGTCCACAGTTGGGGGAATGCAGAAACAGGACGGGTATGATTTTGAAGTAGCACCTTACTCAGCCTCAGAAAGGCAGGGCATTCTGATAGGAGCTAGATTGTAGCCAACCTCGTAGACATGGTGTTAAGCCACAAGCAGACTAACACTGTGTGGTTCCACTGGATGAGGTCCCTAGAGCAGCAAATTCACAGAGACAGACAGCAAAGTGGGGCCAGGGGCTGGGAAGAGGCAGAAATGGGTGCTTGTGTTTAATCTGGCAGTTTCACGTTTGTAAGAGGAGAAAGTCCTGACGGTAGATTTTGGTAATGGTTACCCACAGTGTGAATGAGTTTAATGTCACTCAACTGTCCACTAAGCATGGTAAAAATGATCCATTTTACATCGTATGTATTTAGCCAGAATTTTAAAAAATCCACCGTTATAAAAACTAAGCTTAGTCTGAGTGTAGTTAGTTTGGTTTAATATGCAGAGATTCAGGCAAGATGGTGCATACCTGTAATCCCAGCACCAAGGAGGCTGACACAGGACTATTGGGAGTTCAAGGCTGGCCAGCCAGGGGTCCATACCTATGACCCTGTGTTTATGAGTGAATAAATGAATGTTGAGATGAGAGAATGAACAGTTATACGTATTATTGCACTTCTCCCAGCAGGCATCGCTCAGAACAAGAGGGATGTCACACAGGTGTGAAGACCCTATCTATAGTCAGATGTCTAGAGACAGTTATAATATGAGGGCAAGGGATCACTGAAGCCCACTGTGGAAATATCGGAGCTGACTCACCTGCAGCCACAGTTCTGTACAGTGCAACTCTGAGCACTTGCTGGGAACCAATCACAAGGCCTTTCACTTGTTGGAAGTAGCTGAATTGGCCTTGACCTCCCCGTGCAGGCTGCAGACATGCAAGTTCTGGCCCCATCCCAACGGACTCTCTCTTGTGTTCTCTCAGGGCTCTGCTGGAAGATGGGAAAGCCACGGTGCCCTGCCTGGCAGAGAGACTGACCTCCGAGCTCATCAAGCACATCTGCGTAAGCACGGGTGGGCCCCTGTGTTCTCTGAGAGGGATCCACGGACACCAGGCTGGCAGTGGGGCTGGACATTGCTGGCACACGGCACTGTTGGAGATTTCTGGGCACACTGAGCTGTGCTTGGCATCGGTGATCCAGCATCGATGGCCTGGGTGCTCGGTTTCAGCTGCCATCACTCACTGGATGAGGGCTGTGTCATGGCTGTGAGCTTCCATTCCTGGAGGGTGATGTGAGGGTGTTCTTAGGAGCCAGGGCTCAAGAGGGCTTCTGGGGAGAGGCAGCGCCCACTTCTCTCAGACCCTGGTAGAGCTTCCAGCTCAAACCACTCTAGTTCTCCACTTGGGGAGTGGAGTCTCAGCAGAGATCCCCTGTGCTCTGCACCAGAGTTCAAGGGCCTCCTCACAGCCCCAGGATGTGGGAGGAGAGCCAGACAATCAATTTCCAGTGATCTATAGGCTGATGCTCCCTGGAGCCCCCTTGCAGCAGAAAGAGGTGCTGGTTTATTGGACTCCCTGCTGAGCCAGACTCAGAGATTTCTCTTGTGTCCCCGCAGCAGAATGAACTCCCAAAGCCAAGTACACCTTTTCTCCTTTTGATCAATGCCCTTCACCCAACCTGGGGTCCTTGCTTCTTTCTTCTGCAGTCCCCTGGCTTCAGTCTCTGAGTGTCCCCACTCTTACACTCGCTGATGCAGGAAAGGTGCAGTTGTCATGTTCTCCCCAGGGCTTTCAATGCTTGCAGTGGAAGGACGGTCCCAGCCCACGGTCAGCCTTGTAGCTGACTATCAGTATACAGATAGCCAAAGCTGTCAGGGACTCTGGGAACAACAGAAAACCTTGACAGCCTTGTACCTATCCAAAACAACATAAAAGTTGAGGAATTTCAGGCTGTTCCAATTCAAGTTTTAAGAACCTACTAGTCAGGTGGATCTGCCTGATCTCCCTGCAGAGGCTCAGGCAGTGTGGCAAGGAGGAATGGCTCGTTGGTGGCTCCTATGAGGCCAGGCCATGTGCAGTGGAACCTCCACACAACTCATGAGGCTGTGCACAGGCGCAGGAATGCGGGCAGACTTGGGTGGAAACGGGAACCCCTATCGTGTCTTTACGTATATGGACAATTTTTAGGGGACACTGGATGTCACCTGTATGTCACAGCTACTCTGGAGAGCAGACTCAGGGCCTCCTTTTCATTCTCAGTCCTTATTTATATAATCTCATTATTTTCTTTATATTTCTCTCAGAAATCTCTGCCACTATTGGAAAATCAAATAAAGGAGAGTCACCAGAAAGTAACAGCAGATTTACAAATCTGTGGCATGGGTGTACCAGAAGATGATAACGAGAAAACATCCTTTCTGATAGACGTGAGTGTTGCCTTTGGCCTCACACTGGAGGATCCTGTACCTGGTGGACTTCTGTCCTCACTCCCCCAATGCTGATCCAAGCACATTCTGCCCACTTAGTGCTTTAAAGGCAGTTGGGGTTGAGACAGTGGCCAGGGAGTGGTGGGCGGGAGCAGGTGGAGCCCATGGGGAGGGAGGGTCCCCTCGTTCATGGACTCTGCCATAGGAGCACTCAGCCCAGATCCCAAAGGAGATCAGGGGAGGGGAGGGACTTCCTGATACCCCAGTATTCTATAGTGGCCCAAAAGGAGGAGAAGGACCCACCCAGCTCAACACACACACGACCCCCGACCTTGACCCCTGTGTTTAGGTGTCTCCTCTTATACTGCTGTTATTCTTCTTCACAGAAAATTAATGCATTCAATCAGGACATCACTGCTTTAGTACAAGCACAGGAGACCGTGGAGGTGTTAGAGACCCGGCTATTTACCAAACTCCGAAATGAGTTCTTCAATTGGAATACTGAGATTGAGAAACATTTCAAAATAGGTGAATGTCTTGTTGAATTTGGGCTGCTATAGCTAACTACCTTCGACTGGGGTATTTGTAGACAACAGAAATTCATTGCTCACAGTCCTGAGTGCTGGGAGATCCAAGATTAAGGAACGAGCCATTTCTGTTTGCTGAGGGCACATCTCTGCTTCCCAGATGGGTGCCACCTCGCCGTGTCCTCAATCAGGACAAGCAGCTCCTCTGGCCCTTGTTCTAAGGACATGCTTCCCATTCATGAGGGCAGTACCCTGGAGACCTGCTCAGTTTATCAAGACCTCCCTTTCAGTGCCACCACACTGGGGATGAAGTTGGAGGGCACATTGTGTCCCCAGCAGGGGGTCAAAGCATCATGATAGACCTGGGGTGTTGCCTGACACAGGGGAGCGGGATGCAGGAGTGAGGATTCCAGGAATAGGGAGAGCCACACAGAAGCTACATTTGCTCTGTTCTGTGTTCTGAACTCAGCTGAGCAAGCACCTGTTACTGATTTCAAAGACACCTAAAGAGAAAATGTAGATTGATTGCTCTGCATCAACATCTTCTAGAAGAATCTGTCCTGCTGGATAGAGAGCACGTGGACATGGTGCATGCATCCTGGTTTCTATGTCACCCATCTTTGTTCACTGGCCAGAGTCATATTCCGGTGTGTCACCGTCAAGTCCTCAGGAGCCTGAAGGAGGCAGAAAGTGTGTTCTGAAGCCTACTCTTCACTCTCTCAAGATCCCTAAAGGAAATCACATATCCAACACGATAAGGGTGCAGTGGCTGAGGGAAATTCCAGGTGACGTCACTTGATGGGGATCCACAGGTCATTTCGACCAACCAGAGGTTCAAGTAAACATGTCTCCTTGACATTGAATGATGAATGTGGGAAAGAGAGTGACGCACTGTGGAATCCATTTGTCCTTGGCAGAGGGCATGGAGGGCAAGTGGGTTGGGTACCGGTGCTCTTGGTGGAGAACCATTTGTGATGAGCATTTGGGGTTAGTGACTCTTAGTCTGCATGTTTCTCGTCCTAATCTGTTTGAATAAGGACACCAGTCAGCCTGGATTACAGCCCACACTAACGGCCCCATTTCAATTTAGTAGCTTCTCTAAAGACCATCTCTGAAAACACAGTTACGCTCTGATGTACTGAGGGTAGGGCCTGAACACATGAATTTTGGGGAGACGCAATTCAGCCTATAGCATCAAACAGTGGAATATTTTTAGCCACTGAAAGGCACGAAGCACTGGTACACGCTACAACATGGCTGAACCTTGAGAACGTGACGCCACGTGAAAGAAACCAGCACAATGGACCACATATCATGTGATTCCTGGATGCAATGTCAGAATAGGAAATCCGTGTAGGCAGAAGCAGAGGTGTGGCTGCTGGGCTGTGGAGGGGGAGCTGGGGAGGGACTGCTGGCGGGGGTGGGGCTCCTCGAGGCCATGGGAGCATCTGGAATTAGACAGCCATGGGGTTGCACAGCTTTGGGAATATCTAAAAGTCATTGAGTTGTCCACTTTTAATAGGATGAGTTTTATTGTCTGTGAACTAATCTCAATAAAAACAATTCCTGTGGGAAACTATCTCCCCACCCAAAGCGGGAGACAAGCAACCTGTTCTTCTCAGAGCAGCCAGGGCCCCTCTGAGTTGCCACCAATGCGGTGTCTGTCACAAGAAGAGCATTCAGTCCAGTAAACAGTGACGTCATGTCACACTCAGGTAGATGTTTCCTGATCCTCCCAGCTCAGGACCATGTGGTGCCCAGGGAGCTTCAGCTGGTGCTCGGGTCTTCTCTGCTCTCCAGGCCTATGAATTCTGGCCCTCTTTCTTTTGTCTGGTCAGATTGGCTCTATGTGACTCATAGAGCCACATAGTACATTTCCAGAATATGCCTTCTGTAGTTTCTGCTTTTCCTGATTTCTGGCACGGTTCTCTGGCTCTGCACCTGTCACCTTGCCTCAGCTGTCTTGAGGTTGGTTTATTCTTCATTGCAGGCCTGTGTTTCAGTTTACACATCAATGTTCATTTGATTTTGTTTTTGCTTGCCATTCATGTTTTCAGAAAGACCAGAATAGGATTGTCTATTAAAATCTGCAAGATTGTTTTCGTAAGAAGAAACAAAATCAGAGCTATTCTTTCCTCTGTAGGTTCTGATGTTTTATTTGGTGAAATGAAGAGATTTGAAAACCAGTATCGTGGCAGGGAGCTGCCAGGATTTGTGAATTACAGGACATTTGAGACGATCATAAAAGAGCAAGTGAGAGCCCTGGAAGAGCCCGCTGTGGACCTGCTACATAGGGTCACTGGTGAGTGTCTAGTTTTGCTTTCTGACATTTTATTCCTGGGGCAGAGAAAGTTTGAACCAAAGCCAGAGCCAAACTGCAAAGCATCCTCTATCACACTTTCTCTACCAAAATCCAATTCTCTTAATCTCCAGACGTCAACATAGAGGTCAAAAATTAGTGTTCAAAAATTTGACAGCATTTTGACCCAGACTGTTGGGACCACTCCAGGAGAGCTGAAGGCAAACTCCTGGCCCTTTGCCTGTGACCCATCAAAGCATGGTGTGTATTTTCTACTCTGCCCTGTGCTCTTCCAGCAGCTGAAGGTGCTAAGCACCTAAGATCAGGTAAGATGACGATGGCTTTAGTGAGCTACAAGCTTGTCTCTCCGTCTCCGGAGAGTAGCTTGGCCTCTTTAGTCAGTGCTGATTCCCTTCTGCTTGTGAGCCACAGCTCCAGTTAAAACCTTGGGTGCATCCCACACAGTTGGCTACCTGGAGTGTGTGTAGACCCCACAGGTATGAGCTCAGTCCCAGAAAACTGTCCCTAATTTCATATGGCTATCTCAAGTCTGTGGTCTCCCATCTTGCCTGCCTCACTTCATGAACCTGAGTTCCCCAATGGTCTTGAAATTGCAAACATCAGGGATGGCTTCACTGATGTTTACCATGGACCATGAGTATGTTAGAAAAGAGACAGGGGCATCTGTCGCTGTGGAGTGGAGCATCCCCTCCTGGTTGACATTGGAGTTGTAATCCAGAAGCTGTGTGAACTTGGACCTGTAGAGGGTTCATGGAGGTTGCACTGCAGAGGCCACACTGGTGGATGACATTCTCTGCCCTGCTTCTTCGCTGGAGGCCAGGACAGTGGGGAATCAAAGGCCCAAGCTTCTGACCCTGGCTTGGCACTTATGGCCCCTATCTTGGGGACCACCAAGAGTTATCTCAGTAGAACAAGTGGTGGTCCTGTCACACGGAGAGTTCCAGGGCACCCGGAGCTCAGCGTCAGGGTGGCACAGACAGCAGATATCTCTCCTCTGCTTCGCACCGGCGATTCTAATCACGCTCAAAGTGCCCTGTGTTGGGGTCTCTCAGAAGCAAAGTCAGGGGCGAGATGTCTGTGCGCCCCGCCAAGTCCCCAACATGCAGTGGGTGCAGGGTGGTGCCACTGTGACCAGGTGCAATATATAAGAATTTCATTTTTGGAACTGTGTATACTTAGGATAAGAGGTGTAAGGTGATGTGGGTGATTGCAGGAGAAGGTGGATTTCAGGGTCTTCCACAGGGCGGCTTCCTGTTCACATGGGAGGAGCAGGAGAGGAGGGTGAGGCAGGAACCTTCCTTTCTTTCCCGTCTACGCCCAGGTCTTTGGAATCTATGCAGAGTAAACTGAGCTCACTCTTGTGGAACTTCTTTTTTGTCTTCCCTCAGACATGGTTCGAGTTGCCTTCACAAATGTTTCTGCAAAATATTTTCAGGAGTTTTTTAACCTCCACAAAACTGCCAAGGTAAATCCAACCAAGCATTTTTGCAGAAGGAATACTAAGCAAGGGAATTCTTGGGTTGAGGCCCTTGGGAATTTATCGCACACGTTTGGAGAAGTAGGTGTTCAACTTCACTTGAGAATGTGACTGATGACGCCCCAGCACTATGTGATCAAGAGAGAAAGAGAGAGAAAGGAAGAGGGAGAGGGGAGAGAGAGAGAGAGAGAGAGAGAGAGAGAGAGAGAGAGAGACAGACAGACAGACAAACATTCAATGAGGAAGTTAAATATAAAAATGGTTTCTATCCAGAGTGAAGAGAGAGCAAGGGAGAAGGAGGCCCCTCATCCACCATCCACAGGGACAGGAATGGCCAAGTGACCAAACTCTTCCCCTGGGTGCAATAGGGTTCCCAGCACAGGTGGGACAATGGCTCTGCCATACACCAGGCAGATGGTGTTTGGGCCTGAATTGTTCTTGTTTTTCTAGGAGATTGAGGTGCGTCATTAGGATATTTGAGATCTCTGTTTTGTCTTCCTTCCTTCCTTCCTTCCCTCCCTCCTTCCCTTCTTCCTTTCTCCCTCCTTCCCTTCACTACTTCCCTCCCTCCCTCCCTCCTTCCTTCTTTCTTCTTATTACAGATATAGGCACTCATAGGTATAAACTTTGCTCTTAGCACCTTCCTCTGTATTCCAGAGGTTTGGTAAGTTGTGTTTTCATTGTCATTAGATTCTAGAAATTTTTTTATTTCCCTCACAGTGCAACAGTGCAGTGCTCAGCCTCCACGCATTTGAGTATTTACTGTTGTTTCTTTTGCTCTTGATATCTAGTTTTACTCTACTGTGGTCTAGCAGAATACAGGAGTTTATTTCAAATTTCTGATATCCGTTAAAGATTTGCTTCATGTCCTAAAATGTGATCTGCTTTGGAGAAAGTTCTATAGGATGTGAGGAGAATGTGTGCTACACAGCTCCTGGATAGAAGGTTCTATAGATATCTGTGAAGTCCTTTTGGTCTATTGTGTTGTTTGATTCTGAAGTTTCTTAGTTGACTTTTTGTCTGAATTATCTATCCATTGATGAGAGTGGTATACTCAAGTCTATTATTGAGTTGGGGTTTATCTGTGCTTATAAGTCCAGTAGTGTTTGTTCAATGAAATTGGATGTGCTCTTTGGTGTGTATATGTTAGCAACTGTTATCTCCTCTTGATGGATTGCTCCCTTATTGATATGAAGTGACCTACTTTTTCTCTTGTGACTAATTTTGGTTTGAAGTTGGTTTTTATTAGATGTGAGGATAGCAACTCCTGTCTGCCTTTGGATTCCTTTGCTTGAAAATTTTTCTTCCATCCTTTCACCCTAAGCCAGTGTTTGTCTTTGTCAGTGAGATGTGCATCTTGTAGGTTTGGTTTTTGCTTTTTAATCCAACCTGCCATCCTATCTCTTTTGGTTGGAGATTCGAGGTTATTAACATTCAGCATTAGTACTTAAAGGTATGTAGTATTTCCTATCATTTTGTTGTTTTTGTGATGTTTGCTTCTTTCTTTTGTGAAGCAAAACCAACAAAATGACGTGAAATACTCATCTGCTAAACTACTTATCAAGTCAGATTTAATCTTTCCTCTGTCTTCCTGGTTGTGTTTATCTTCCTCCTCTGTGTGTATGATACCTTTAAGTATCTTCTGTAGCGCTGGTTTACTGGTCATGAATTCCTTTAGTTTTTGTTTATGGTGGAAAGTTTTTACTTCTCCTTCAATTATGAGGGGTAGCTTTGCTGTATACACTAATACAGGTTGACAGTTACTTTCTTTGGGGACTTGGAATATATCATTCTGTGTCCTTCTTGCTCTTAGCATTTCTGTTGGAAAAAACCTGCTGTTATTCTGTTGGGTTTGCCTTTGTATGTGATGTGTTTCTCTTTTCCTCACAGAATAGAATTGAAGACATTAGATTAGACCAAGAAAAAGAAGCTGAGAAGTTGATCCGACTTTACTTCCAGATGGAGCAGATCGTCTATTGCCAGGACCAAGTGTACAGAGTTGTGTTGCAGAATGTCAGAGAGAGGGAAGCAGAAGAAGAGAAAAAAAAATACACTTTTTCCGTCCTTCCTTCAAAGGACATTTCCATGGCTGAAATCTTGCAGCACCTGAAAGCCTACCACCAGGTAAGTGTGTGAATGTCTCAGAACCATGGTGCCAGGTCACCTTTGCTTCCACACACCTCTCTCTTTAGGGATGTTAGGTGTGTAAGCTGCTCACAGCCAGCTCTATCCTGAAGTCCTGTAAACCTCCCATAAGTGGTTCCACCTTAGCTAGATAGAGGTGATGGTACCTTGGAGCCAGTGATATATGGCTTTGACTGTGTGGCTTTGGCCTAATGACTGAGCCTCTCTGAGCCTTGGCTGTCTTCTCTGTAGAATGCTGTCTCCTCATAGTGAGTACTACGTAAGAGCAGTGTGGTTGAGTTCCATAGTGCGATGCCATGGTGCTTACCAGGTGGAAGCCTGCATCTCCACACCTACTGGGATGGATGTTGCCCATGTCTAACTGTCTGAGTGCAACGGGTAGAGCTCAGGGAGAGCACCTGGACTTGGACATGTCTGGACAGGTGAAGCACTGGTGGTCCCTGGTTTGCACACACACACCCTCTTCACCCTTGGCTGCTGTAAGACTGAGATCTCCATTTGAGCCTTTCACGCAGGCCACCGGGGATCGGGGGACCATGCACATGTGGATAGCAGGTCTGAAGTGCACCGTGCTAAGGGGACCCAGAGAAGACTCGTGCTACTGGAAGGAGACCACATTTTGAGCAGTGAGGTTCTAAACTGAGGGTCCAGCTCCACTTTCAGTGACTCGGGGTGCTGCACACACAAGAGTGAAACCAGTGAAGAGAAGGCAAATTCAGAGCTACTTCCTCATACCCCACTTAACCCCTGTGTGCTCAGACTGCCTCATGGGGAACAGGTGACTTTTAGAGTAGACAAGGTAGATGCAGGTACAAGATCCACAAGCAGAGACTCCATGGACTCCACTGGAGCCATGCAGCCCACTCTGGAAGAGCCCTTCCCTGGGTCTTTCATCTCATCCCTTGTGACTGCACACACCACAGGGCTCCATTTCTATGTGACTGCACACACCACAGGGCTCCAGTCCTATGTGGCTGCACACACCACAGGGCTCCCGTGCATCTCCATTTTGCTATGAGTTACTAAAAGGTGGGCAGAGGATGTGTGCTGCTCTGCCCCTGGCTTCCTGGTCTCTTCCTTGGAGCTGGCCCCACTTCAGTCCAATGGAGCCACTCGTTCTTTTAATGGTTCCTGAATATCCACATGGTGATGGCTCTTGGAGCTGTCCCCTGTTCATGGACATAGTGACTTGCAGCCTTCTGCTCCCCAGGGATGCTGCATCATGTAACTTTGCTGGTACATCATGAATCTGGAAGCAGAAATGGCCTGACAGGAGATTCCTAGTGTGCTGGGCAGTGTGGTGCCAGGTGAACAGGACCATTGGGGACACATACACATCAATACAGAAATGCCCTTCAAGGAGCTGGCTGTGGGTCTGAGGGCTACAAGTCCCTAATGGGCAGTTTGGACATGGGCAGGAGCCCAGCAGGCCACAGGAGAATTCCTTCTCCACAGGGGGACACCAGCCTGGCCTTGTTGACACAGGACACCAATGTCACCAAAGGCCAGGATAAGGCCCATTCCTGTGGCTAAACCCCCACACCTTCCAGCTTCATCTGTACTGGAGTTGCTGGGCTTTGACCATCAGATGGATGGAAGTGACATCTCATTGCAGCTTTGCCTGGCACTCCATCCTGTGACAATGAACTTGCTTCCAGTCCCTGCAGGCCGAGCTCTGCAGCCAGGCCCGAGGCCTTCATGACTGGAGACAGCACTCTGCAGTGCTCCATCTGCTTGTGACTCTGTCTGTAGTGGTTCTAGACCAGGCTGAGGTTTTCTAGATTCATGGGTTGGGATTAGTTCTAGGACTTTGGGGGTAGAGAGGCTTCTGGCTTTTTGTTCTGTTTTGTTATACTTTAACAGAACTTTGCCCCACTGGGACTTTGACAGAGGTCCACAGTGTCTTCTTAAGTCACTTCTCCTTTCAGATTTTTATTACACCTTTGACCTGCCTGCATTTCCCAGCTCTCAGCATGAGGCAGGACACAGGTGCGACAGGTGGCACCTTCTTTGAAGGACCCTATCACCCCACTGGGGAGCCCCAGAGCCACTCCTGCTTCTTCTCAGTGCTTGGGGTCTGTCTCTAGACCCCATGCTGTTCTGTTGGGGCTTTTCCTGGCAGTCGTGGTCGTAGCAGGACATCCCCCAGTGTCCTGGGCCCAGTGCAGCTCACCCCACTGCTTGTTTTCTTCTTTGTTGTGGGAAAATACATGTTACACCATGTGCCACCTCAACTTAAGTGCCACAATTTAGAGACATTAAATGCCTTTTCATGACTATGCAGTCATCTCAACAAGCCACTCTGTCCCCATTATACCCTGATGCTTCACTCACTCCCCAGCCGTGAACCCTCTATTCTTCTGTCTGTCTCTATGAGTCTGAGAATTCTAGGGACTTTGTAAACATGGAACCATGAAATATTTGTCCTTTTGTAATGTCTCAAGGTCCATCTGTGTAGGAGCAGGACTCAGAATTGTGTGTCTGGGGATATCAGTCCTTCCTCGCAGCTGTGTCTCCTGCTCCCACACCAGGCTTGCTTTTGCAGGGCCCCACACGAATCCCAAGGGTCCCCCTCCACCTGCCATTTGGTGATGGGTCACACCCCAGCTGGTTCTGGTCCTAGAACAGGTAGCGTGTGTTCCACTCCATCCCACTGTCTCTTGAATAGTCACTGGGTGCTCATCTCCTACCTGGCTTCTCCCTACACCGGTGTCTTATGACACTTTTAATCTGTTTAACCATCCCAGGAGGTTCACACTCATATTATTGCTGAATCCTAGAGAGGGAAACCAAGTCACAGAGAGGTAGCTGAATTTGAGGCACCACTGTACATATCACCTTCGTGAAAGATCGTTCTGTCTGAGGACAGAGAGGATCTGGCAGCAGCTGGGCTGGGAGGCAGGAAGCAGATGGTGAGACCTAAGTTTCCTCTGGTGGAACCCAGGGCTCCCTCCTGTGGCTTCTGACAGCCCAGTGTCCTTCCTGCCTAATAGCTTGTGCTTGATGAGGAGAGGAGGTGTACAATGCTCTCAGCAGAGGTGTACGTGGTTTGGAAATGGAGTTTGGGGCTGAGTGTGTCTGTTGACGGTTTGAGGGCACGTTTTACCCTCTTCCACCAGGAAACTGGGCACAGAGTCCAGCTCCCACTCTGACCTCTGCCTGGCCCTTGCTCTGCCTGCAGGACAGAGGACACTCGTGGGGACAACACCAGGCCAGGGTCACATCCCTTGGTGGAAAGCTGGGTTCCCCTGCCACTCCCCTTGCACTTTTTTCTGTGACATGTCCGTTCCTCCCAGGAGGCCAGAAGGAGCATCAGCAGACAAGTCCCTTTGATGATCCAGTACTTCGTCCTGCAGACATTCGGCCAGCGGCTGCAGAAGGCCATGCTTCAGCTCTTGCAGGACAAGGAGTCCTGCAGCTGGCTCCTGAAGGAGCGCAGTGACACTAGCGAGAAGAGGAAGTTCCTGAAGCAGCGGCTGGAGCGGCTGGTACGGGCTCGGCACAGGCTTGCCAAATTCCCTGGTTAATTGGGCTCTGTCCCTCCCCAGAGCTCCAGGGGAAGCAGGCTGCACCCCTGTCCCAATGGCGGCACCATGATTCTTTAGTTGTAAGCTTAGTGGTCAGACCATAGAGATCTCTATGTGCCCTGAGGAGATGAAGGTCAGGGAGGAGCCATGGGGACTACCTTCACTCCAGCAGGGAGACAGTAGCCCTTTAAAGCACAGGATGCAGAGTGGGGAGACTGCCACTGTCTTAATGGGAATAGCGACCTCCCTGACCTGCTCACTTTCTTTGTCACAAGGCCACCCAGGTTCCACACTCTGGCAGGTTCATTACTGGTGGTGTAATATCCTTTGGAACCAGTGTTAAGGAGCAGCCAGGCCTTGCTGGATGCCCGTGATGGCCATGTCTCCTCTGACCCTAATAAACCCTGTATCTGACAGCAGACACTCCTCTGAGTTGCTTTGTTTTGGTAGAAGGGGACTGAACTCGGCTTCTGAGGACCCCAGCTCAGCTGAGCTGTGCTCCCTAGGGCTGGGTGGAGAAGAGGGACAGAGCAGGGTCCAACTGTTTCCTAGGGGCTGCTGGGAAGAGGGACAAGCTGGAAGAGACAAAACTTTAATGCTCACAGCATTCTCAGTCCCCATGGACACTGTCCATTGCTTACGACATTAGCAATGTCCTGTAGGACAGGTCACCTGGCCTACAGAGGAGCGATTCAAGTCCCAGTGCAGAAGCGGCTGTGGGTGGGCTAGGCATGCTGGCCTCTACAGGGAAGCAAACGTTCTCACAGGACAACTGCAGGGTCCCGCAGCTGTGTTTCATCTGGCCTGGACGGGGACCTCTAAGGTGCTTGAGGGTGTTCTCTTTGGGCAAGAAGAGTCGTCTCTGGATTTCAGGCTATTCTGCCTGGCCATACATAGGGTAGAACCATAGACACTCCTGCCACTACCCCCATCCATGTGCTATGAACTCCAGGGATGAAGGGGGCTCCCAGGAACCCTCTGTGTGACTCCTGCACTGGGAGAGCTGACTCAGATTGCTACATGGAATGGAGCCATGGGAGAGGCCTGCACCCCAGCTGCTGCCTGCTCCATAGCCCCTGCCTCTGTCCATTACTTCTGCAAACTTTTCTAGAACCTCAAGGATGTCTCCTCCTGCACCCTTACTCCAGGCCAGTGTGTGGCTCAGTGAATCCCACAGAAAGAGGTGGTCAGAGCAAGAAAGGGCCCACGCAGAACTGAACAACTGAGTTAGAAAGCCCTAGACATGGGGGCTGGCATGCTGCAGGTGCTTAACTGTGCTGTGGGAGGAAGGGAGGGTGCAGGTGAGAACCTTGTGCTAGACATGGCTGTCCTCTCCAATGCTGAGGCACCTCTGCCTTCAGTGTTGTCCTCTTCCACCAAAGACTCAGACTAATGCAACCAACTGGCCAGCAGATGCCAAGGCAGGTTTGGTCTCAGGAAGGAAGTCGGTCCCAGGGCAAAACCCTCCACCAACCAGGTGACGATGAGCCACAGAGGGACACAGAGCCCAGCACTGGGTTGGTCAGATCCGTCTACTCTCCTCCCAGGGAGAAGGCCTGCTGTGCATGGGTGCAGAGTGTCTCAGACAGCGCTGAGGGGTCTCTTTTGTCCCCACAGAGGTCACTCAGCGCTTCCAGCTTGTCAGGGCTCAAGCCCCAGCCTCTGTGGGTCGATGATGCACATGATGGTGACCACCTGAGGGAGGTCTTCAGTGTTCCTCTCCAAGTGGTGAGGGTTCCAGGACTTGTCTTCAACACTGGGTGCACAGGATGTGAGCTTGGGCCATGCTGTACCACACCGTCCCCCTGTGTATGCTGTGGCCAGGACTGAGCCCCAGCAGGGTAGGTGTGGCTCTCTGCCATCAGCTCTGGGGTCTGAACTTGGCCTGAAGGGAAAAGCCTGTGAAATCGGAGCCGTCCAGGTGAGCATAGGAGAACCTGGAGACAGGGCTCTGCATACCAGGGACCTGAGCTCAGGGCAGACTGTCCCCACAAACCGAGCCACAGGTGAATCCAGAGCTCATGTCAACACTGGGCTCAGCCGCTCACCCAGCTGTGAGGAGCAGAGGTGGGCATCCATTTGTAGGTCTACTCTGATGAGCTTTCTGGGTTCACTTATATAAGCTATTTAACTTGGGTCATTTATAAATGTTTCGATACACAAACATCAATCGCCTCTCGGCTTTCTGGCTACAGTTTTGTAGTGAACCCAGCCTCTTCCACTAAAACCACTGAAATTAAATTATTTTCCAACATGAGAACTGTAAGGGAAGAGTTCAGCTGCTTTGCTCACCGGGACACTTTGGAGCATTTGCTCCTCATTCTTCCCGATCCCTCACTAGTGAATTACCTACGTGCTAAAGGTTATTTGCACCTCAGTTAATAGCAGCTCTGCTGTGGCCTTGCCTGTGTGGTGGACATCCATGGCCCCTGAGGTGCACTGTCAGTGGCAGCCAGCAGGGGGTGCTCTGCCTGTTGTGCCAGCACACACTGAGGGCGCGCCCTGCTCAAGGCTGGTGAGCGCCTGGGTTTGCACTTTTGTGCATTTGATGGGGACTTGGAAGTTCCTCGTGACCCCAGGCGCACTGCTGTGGCTTGGCCTCAGCCCAAGAAGGCCGAAGCGTCCAACGGGAAACGCGTTACAGACGCTTCCTTCAGGATGAGCTGAGGCCCTGGGATGTGAGTTCAGTGCTGAGGATCCCACAAGATGGGCTGCACAGGGTCTAGAACTCACGGGCACTGAGGGAGGCCAGCAGAGTGGCTGTCGCTTCTCATGCAGGGACATGCAGAGAACTGCCAGGCAGTGGGATGGATAGTGGGGAGGAAGAACCTCTGCCACCATGAACCAATGGGCCATCAAGAAGAAAGCCTCAGGGCACAGATGCCAACTCAGCTTTGGTCAGGCTGGGCTGAGGACGTGGGACACCAGGCAGACAGGTCAGCATGGGTGGCCCTTGGGTAACTTCAGGGGAGGTGGGGGTCCGGGTGAGGCCCCTGCAGGAGTCATTGGAGGGTTGTGTCCTACAGAGCAGAGGGGCCAGCTAGGGACCTGCAGCCTCTGCCTACTGTGATAGGGCTTTAGGGAACAATTAATGTTAAATGAAGCCATAAGGTTGGATCCTAATGCAGTAGGATTGCTGCCCTATAAGAAAAGACTTTTCTCTGCGTGTCTGTCTCTTTCATGTGCACATACTGTGGAAAGGCTGTGGGGTACACAGGGAGAAGGTCACCATCTGCAAGGAAGGAAGACCCTTCATCTTGCTGGACCTTGATCTTGGATTGTCCAGTTTCTATAACTGTGGAGGAAATAAAGTTCCTTTATTTAAGACACCCAGTCTATGGTCTTTGTTATGCCAGCCTGTGCTAATACACATGCCCAGAATAACCTTTGATCAAACATCTGGGCACTCCATGGCCCAGTGACATAAAATTATTCACAATGTATTACTTGAATAAAAATAAAAGCTAATTTACAAACCATTGACACCACCCCCTTCATTTATGAGTCCGCTTCTCGGGAGTAACAAGTTAGCGTGAATTTCATACAGTCACTGTGAAGTTTGGTGTCCACATGCAGTTTCTTAAGTTCTACCCACATTTATATTTATATATTTCTCTTTTAAGATGGATTCACTATTTTTTTTGCTTTTTTTAAATTTCATTTTTGCTCTACACTGTATCCTCTCTTTCTTTTTTTTTGGTGGTACTGTGGTTTGAATTCAGGGCTTCACCCTTGCTAGGCAAGTGCTCTCCAACCTCAGGATGCCCTACACCATTTTGCTTTAGTTACTTTTTCCAGTTGGTTCTTGAGTTTCCCCTGTTTACACCTCCCATGTAGCTGGAATCAGAGGCACATTCCACCACACCCAGCTTATTGGTTGAGATAGGGTCTCTCGAATTCTTTGCCCATGCTGGCCTGGAACCTTGATACTTCCCATCTCTGCCTCCTGAGTAACTGGGATTACACACATGCACCACCATGTCCAGTCTCCATTTCTTTAGGATACATTTCTATAAGCATCAATTCAAAGATGCCTTGGGTATTTTTAGGACTCCCCACTTTACGCCTCCCATCAGGCAAGTAGGAGGTGGCTAACCTCTTGGGTAGCTAGTAACATTAAAAACTTTAGTTTGCAACTAAACATTTTCTGTGCAGTAGTAAGAATGAACACTTCTCATGTTTCTTGACCAATTGTATATTTTATTTTATCATTTTTCCTTTTACTTACATGTGCATACATTATTTGGGCCACTTCCCCTCACCTCCCTGCCTCCAGACTGAACCTGTTCCCTCTTGTTCTCGGATTTTGCTGAAGAAAAGACATAAAAGATAATAAGAAAAACATGGCATTTTTGCTAGTTTGAGATAAAGATAGCTATACAGAGAGATTCCTAGTGTTGCTTCCATGCACATTGGTTCATCTCTGCCAGACCTCTTCACTACTTCCTGGTCACTTTCCCATAGTGGCCTCTGCTGGTTTAAGATTACTTTATTCACTCCTCTACAGTGGGCACATCAACCACATTCAAGATTTAGGTTTCCTTCCCTTTCCCTATTCCTTCCATGCACATTCTCCCTTTAGCGTGTTATCCATGCCCAGTAACATTGCTGGATTTGTTTTGGGTCTATAATCCACCTATGAGGGAGAACATGTGATTTTTGTCCTTCCAAGCCTGGCTAACTTCGCTTAGGATGATGTTCTCCAGTTCCATCCACTGGCCACTTTTGAAGGTGTTGGTCATAGCTTTTGTGTTGCTGTAATGGGCACCTGGGGTTTTTGGTGTTTGAAGGTCCCTGGGATTCATATTATTGAAGTATGCAAGACACAGTCACACATGACTCATAAAGGAAGACAATGTGCACATACACAGATCCTAAAAACAGTAGGAACAGTATACCATTCTGGGCCACTCGGGGAAGGACCAGGGGCAGTCAGGAAGGGAATGGAGAGGAGGAAATGGGGGTGAATTTATTGTGGTTTGTGTGGGGAAGCAGGGCAGGCAGGTGGAGGAGGGCCCGGTTTGAACATTCAGCAGGCTCTGTGGCACAGGACTGTGCCTTGAGGTCTGGTACTTGTGCAGGGAAGTAGATGGACAGCGGCCTGACTGTGAGGGCCACTGAGAAGCCCATGAGGTGTGGGCTCTTGATTGGTTTGTATTTGGAAGGGGGACTAGTTTATTACGTCTATGGATTAGCTAAATCCCCCCAGGCTTAGCATGGCACAGGTACGAATTTCAGAATACTGAAAATGAGTCTAACATAACACATTTGGCTTATTTGTATAAGATTTGTGTGCACTAGAGTTTATGTTTTGTTCCCTGATGATATCCTAAAAGACTTGGCCCATGGCGTCTCATTCCGTAGGTGTCTTTTCCTCCCCCGATTCCCCCAAGTCTGTCCTCTGGGACCCTG